TGAGGGAACTAATGTTGTAGCTGTAAAGGTTTTTGACCTTGAACAATCGGGATCTACTAAAAGTTTTGTAGCTGAATGTGAGGGACTGAGAAGGGTGCGTCACCGCTGCCTCATGAAGATCATCACATGCTGCTCAAGCATCAATGAACAAGGTCAGGATTTCAAGGCATTGGTTTTTGAGTTCATGCCAAATGGTAGCTTGAATCGTTGGCTGCATACAGAATCTGGCATGCCCAGTGTGAACAATACTCTCAGCCTTGCACAAAGACTAGATATCGCTGTTGATATCTTGGATGCATTGGACTATGTTCATAATCACTGCCAGCCACCAATCATCCACTACGATCTCAAACCAAGCAACATCCTTCTTGCAGAAGACATGAGCGTCCGAGTCGGAGATTTTGGCATATCTAGAATCATTTCAGAAAGTGAAAGTATAATTCTGCAAAATTCCAGTAGCACAATTGGCATAAGAGGGTCCATTGGCTACGTTGCTCCTGGTAAATTCTATGTTTCCGATTTTTTTCTTTATTCCAAATCCTTCTATGGCATGCTAACCAATACTTCCTTATTATTTTGCATAATAATAGAGTATGGTGAAGGTTCTTCCATCACAACATTTGGTGATGTTTACAGCCTTGGCATATTGCTGCTCGAGATTTTCACAGGGAGGAGCCCAACAGATGATATGTTTAGAGGTTCAATGGATCTACATAAGTTTTCAGAGGATGCTCTTCCAGATAAAATCTGGGAGATAGCCGATACGACAATGTGGCTACACAGTGGCACCTATGACAGTAATACAAGAAACATAATTGAGAAATGTTTGGTTCATGTTATTGCTCTTGGGGTATCCTGCTCGAGAAAACAACCTAGAGAGAGGACCACTTGGTGAAAGAACCTTCAACATTGGTGTCTCAACAATATTTTGGCTACATGTGGAACCAAAGAACATCACTGTGAAGAGTAGAACCAAGGATTTTATTTCTTCCTATGAATTTCTGTTTTCAGGCTTGCCATATCCTGATCAAAGAGATGTAGCAGTAGCCAGTAGAGATGCACGACATCAAAGATCCATACATTGTGTTTCCTGTTACCTTTAGAAAGCCCCAATTGCAGACATTTGCTAGAGCAATGATAACAGCAGAAGGTAGATTAGAAATTTAGGATAAGTTGTGAACTAAAACAACTAAAGCCGTATATGCAATCAGGATTGAAGTCTCTCTTTTGGATTTATATGTTTATCATAACAGTGTAAAAGGGAAAGTAAAATGCCATGCAAATTTACCTTCTTAAGATATGAAATGCTTGAACTTCTACAGAAGTGGGCATATCATCCATATATGCTTACTCCATATCCTCACATTATTTTGAGGAAAATGGCTGGTGCTCTGCCTGTTCATTAAGCGCGCCCTCATATCAATCATGGATCAAAATATGAAAAACACTTGGCTTGAAAAAGTAGACATGCATTTCAAACAAATACAGTTTTTTTCTTCAAAAAAAACGAATACAGATTCAGAAAAATCACCCAGAACAAAAGAACGATGAAGTTTCCACTGAAATTTAATCAATAAAGAAGTAGGCTATAGCTCAGAGTGACAATGTTTATATGGCAATCAGGGTGCACGCAGATGAGAGCATCGCAAAATCTAGAATTTCAGAAAACATCATATTGTCTTCATTATTGGTAGCCATGCGCTAGTGCCACCCATGCACATTGTCAGGGAAACCTCCATGCAGCAAACGTTCAGATCAGCGACGAACAAACATGGCAGTAGGACAATGTTGGAAATTATAAAATGCTAAGCAAGTTATACCACAAATGTCAAAATTTGTGGCACCGTAAAATACTCAATCGCACTGTAAAACAGCTTCATACACATTTTGAAGATTCAGAACGCAAATGGTGCCCAGACTTACTTCTCGCATTGCGAAAGTAGTGCGACTGCAACAAATAAGTAATTGTCCTCTCCAGGCAGATCAGCACAAGAATCAACAGAAAAATAAAGAACCTGTTGCAATTTGCAGAATCAACAAATGCAAAGAGACATGGACCAGGTTGGCAAAGTAACTATAATTAGTGCAGAATCAACAAATGCAAAGAGACACGGACGAGCTTCGCATTCCCAAAGACCAAAGTAGTGTATAACTGCAAGAAAATTCAGAGTTCCAACCAAACAATGCAATTAGCAAATAGCAATCACAACATTATGTTTGAGAAATTGATCATATGTATCATCGTGTAGTAATAATCAATTGACAACAAAGCCCAATCCAATCATACAGATCATGTAAACAGAAACCACTAGTATCCTATATCGACGAAAAGACATTGCTCCAAAACCAGAAGCGGCACTGACGATCCCTGTCTCAACCAAAACAGCACACAAACCAGCAGCATACCCCTCACTCGCATCTCTCTGCTGCCGCTGCTACTACGGAAGTTAGAATGACTTCTAATTTGGAATGGAGTATGCAATTTAAAATAGAGGGATTCTATTTTCTATCTTTCCTAATAATTCTACAAAAGTAGCTCTGTCTACATGGTGGTTCTGATTGTTGGAGCACTAAATTTTAGCCCATGAACAAGTGACCATCTTCAGCAAACACTGTAAAAGATGTCAGTATAATAATAAATTAATAAAGGAAAGTTGTATGGTCACCAATCAGTATCAGGCCAAGGAATTTCCACGCAAGGGCCTTGTTTAGATTGTAAGTTTTTTCACTCTTTTTCCATCACATCAAATCTTTGACATATGCATGGAGTATTAAATGTAGATAAAAAAATAACTAATTACACAGTTTAATTGTAAATTACGAGACGAATCTTTTGAACCTAGTTAGGCCATGATTGGACAATAATTGTCAAATACAAACGAAAATGCTACCGTGCCAAATACTGATTCCTAAACCAATCTAAACAAGCGTGCCATCGAGGACGACTGCAGTCTACGTATGCGATAGTGAGTCGAGGCAGGACAAAGTCATGCTCCGCGTTTGGCAGGTGTTGACCAACTCGGTATTGACTTGGAGTCAACTACGAACGCTGACGTAGAATGCAACCCCACATGTACTCCTACATGTCATGGCGCGCGGCAATGATGACTTCACTGTTAGTGTTTTTAACTAGATAATGTAAATATGGCATCAGCAAGCTATGGGCTCATTAGAAAGGCGCAGAGCGCACATTCTTTTGAGTTTTGAGGAGGCGAAAGAAAGAAAGAAAGAAGAGAGCAGCTGGGCACTCATTTAGTCGGCTGTGTCTTTTAGTCGGCTTCCACTCATTTACAGCTGCAGCAGCTGCGAGCCAGAGAGCAAAACTCTGTAGAAAAAGCAAAAGAAGCAGCTGCAGCGCTGAAAAAAAGAAGAGCCGAGTCAAGTCTTCCCGGTCGTCTCTGGACACTGGTCTTCAGTCTTCACAGTACAATCAATCAGTCATGGCTATAGTTGTACTATACAGTGAGAGCAGCTGTGCACCAGCCAGCATTAACCACTGGCTCATCGCCGCCTTCTTGACCGTTCGTTCGCCTCCTGCATGCCCCAACCAAAACGTCTTTATATATTACAGCCGGGATTCGCAGTATAAATAACACCGCCAACTACCATTCTACTTATCAAAAACCTAGGAGTCGTTGTTTACACTCACCACGTACCAACTACCAAAGCAGCCGACATGGCGCTGCGCTCGCTGAGCTTGCTCCTCCTGCTGCTATCCTCCTCGGTCACCATCTCGGCACTCACCGCCGCCGCAGAAGGCGACGAGGAGGAGGCCTCGCTGCTGGCCTTCAAGGCAGCGGCGATCAGCACCGGGCACAACAACCCGCTTGCTTCGTGGAACCGCAATAACATGGGTGGGTACTGCAGCTGGGAGGGGGTAAGGTGTCGGGGCATAGGCCGCCGAGTGGTGGCTATCGTCCTTGAGGACTCTTGACCTGAGCTCCAATGAAATAAGTGGGAACATGTCAGCAATTATGATCCACATGTTAGCAAGACACATCATCTACTAACATACATTTAGTTGTCCACATCAGCGTGCCACGTCATCCACTAACATTAACTTAAAATTGTTGATCCCTTTGTATAAGTAATTTTATTCCAAATCATCAGCAATTTCCGCGGTAACGCGCGGGGTATTCACCTAGTTCATTTAAAAGGGAGATGATCCTGACACTCATTCTCAAAGTGATTATTGCCTTTTGCACAATAAAAATCTCCAAATAGTAGGTTTTTGGTTGATAGTTGGATTCTATAATCAAGTTTTTGGATCTTAAGTCATTTTATATTTTCTAGCCATAACCTTTTATTTTATATCTGGATATAGTACATATCTAAATGCATATAAAAAATTATATCTAAAAATTTATAATGACCTCCAATTTAAAACAGAGGGGTAGTAGTTTTTATCTTTTCTAATAATTCTACAAAAGTAGCTTTGTCTACACGGTGGTTCTGATTGTGGAGCACTAGATTATGAACACGTGACCATCTTTCAGCAAACACCGTAAAAGATGTCAGTATAATAAATTAATAAAAGAAAGTTGTATGGTCACCAATCATTATCAGGCTAAGAAATTTCGACACAAGGTGCCATCGAGGACGGCTGCGGTCACCAATCAGTATTAGGCTAAGAAATTAATTTCCATATACAAGGTGCCATCGAGGACGGCTGCCGGCTGCGGTCTGCGTATAGTGACTCGTCGCTGCGACTAGCACGAGACCGGAATATATATAAAAAATCACAGATCTGGGCCCTGGAAGTTTTGACACTTATGGCACGGAGGGCACAGAGCCCTGGAAATCAAAGTGATGCGTTTGGCAGTTGTTGACCAACTCAGTATTGACTTCGAGTGAACGACGAACGCTGGTCATGGCGCGCGGCAATGATGACTTCGTTGTTAGTATTTGACTATAAATGTGGCATCAGCAGGCTTCATGTGCTTGCACACGCTTACATACACCAAAGGCGCCACCCATCAGTATCTATCCCCCGACCCCCAATGTGTACCAAAGCAATATGCGCGATAATGCCCTCGGTGTGCTTGCTGCTGCTCTCCGCCTCCATGTTGGTCTCAACACTGGTGACTGAAGAAGACGATGAGGAGGCCGCGCTGCTGGCCTTCAAGGCCACGGCGATCAGCAACGGGCACAACGACCCGCTTGCTTCGTGGAACCGCAGTGCCACCGGTGGGTACTGCAGCTGGGAGGGGGTCAGATGTCGGGGCACACGCCACCGCCGAGTGGTGGCGTTGAGCCTCCCGTCCCATGGGCTCACCGGCGTCCTCTCACCTGCCATTGGAAACCTATCGTCCTTGAGGACTCTTGACCTGACCTCCAATGGGTTCAGCGGGAACATCCCCGCGAGCCTCGGTCGTCTGCACCGCCTCCATACGCTCAACTTGACTCGCAATGCCTTCTCTGGCCTGCTCCCGGCCAACTTGAGCTCTTGCACTAGTCTAATGAAGATGGTCCTTGATTTTAACAAGCTCAGCGGGAACATGCCCTCTGAGCTCGGTGACAAGCTGAAGCAGCTCAAGGTGCTCCGCCTGCGGAACAACAGCTTCACTGGAAGGATTCCGGCATCGCTGGCCAACTTGACATCATTGAGTATTCTTGATCTCGCGTTCAACCTGCTCGAGGGTACTATCCCGAATAGCCTTGGCATCCTCAAGGACCTCAGTTTTCTTGGGCTTGCCTTCAACAACCTCTCTGGCGAGCCCCCGACATCCCTTTACAATTTGTCTTCCTTGGAAATGTTGCAGATTCAGTGGAACATGCTCAGTGGTAGCATTCCCACCGATATTGGCAGCAGGTTCCCCAGCATGCGAATCCTTAGCCTTTCTACAAACCAGTTCACTGGGACCATCCCTGCTTCACTCTCCAACCTCACATCGCTCCAGGAACTCCACCTCGCGCAGAATATGCTTAGTGGATATGTGCCTCGCACGATTGGGAGACTACGAGCTCTGCAGATGCTAGAATTGTACAACAACATGCTACAAGCTAACGATTGGGAGGGGTGGGAATTTATCACTTATTTGTCAAACTGCAGCCAGCTCCAACAATTAGCTATCTACAACAACGCCGCTTTCACTGGGCACCTACCATACTCACTAGTGAATCTCTCAACAACCCTGCAAAGCCTCTGCTTGGACAACACTGGCATTTGAGGAAGCATCCCCTCCGAGATCAGCAACCTAGTGGGCCTCGAGATCCTTGGTATTTTTAATACTTCTATATCTGGAGAAATTCCAGATAGCATCGGCAAACTAGCAAACTTGACTCAGCTTGGTTTGTTCAATACTAACTTGTCAGGACAAATACCTTCGTCTGTTGGAAACCTCACAAAGTTGGCTATCCTTGAGGCATATCATGCAAATCTAGAGGGACCAATTCCACCGAGTATAGGGAAGTCGAAGAGTATAATTTACCTTGATTTGTCAATGAACCGCCTGTCCGGTTCGATTCCTATGGAGATTTTCAAACCGCCGCTTCTTTCTTTCGTTTACTTAGACTTGTCATACAATTCACTATCAGGACCTCTCCCCTCTCAAGTTGGTAGCTTAGTGAACCTTAACACACTGGTTCTATCAGGAAACCAATTATCTGGCAAGATACCTGAAAGTATTGGGGAGTGCATCGTGCTGCAAGAACTTTGGTTGGACAATAACTTATTTAACGGAAGCATACCTCAATATCTAAACAAGGGTCTAACTACACTCAACCTGTCAGTGAATAAGTTGTCTGGTACTATTCCAGATGCCATTGGAAGTATCAGTGCCTTGGAGCAATTGTGTTTGGCATACAACAATTTTTCAGGACCAATTCCTGCAGTTCTACAGAACTTGACATCATTGTCAAACTTGGATCTGTCCTTCAATGATCTGCAAGGGGAAGTGCCAGAGGAAGGGATTTTCAGAAATCTGGTTAACCTGTCGATCATCGGAAATAACAAGCTTTGTGGGGGAGTACCCCAGCTTCATTTAGTTCCATGCAAGACAGATTCTGTGAAAAAGAACATAAGAGGGAAATTGAAGTATCTTAAAATAGCACTACCAGCAACCTTTGCACTCTTATTATTAGCTATTGTCATTGCACTCTTGATCTACAGGAAGCAAAGAAGAAAGCAGAAGGGTGCACTCGAACCATCAATGGTTGAGGAACAGTACGAAAGAGTTTCTTATCATGCTTTATCAAACGGAACCAATGGATTCTCAGAAGCCAATTTGCTTGGTAAGGGAAGCTTTGGGACAGTGTATAAATGTGTTTTTCAAGCTGAGGGAACTGTTGTAGCTGTAAAGGTTTTTGACCTTGAACAATCCGGTTCTACTAGAAGTTTTGTAGCTGAATGTGAGGCACTAAGAAGGGTGCGCCACCGCTGCCTCATGAAGATCATCACATGCTGCTCAAGCATCAATGAACAAGGTCAGGATTTCAAGGCATTGGTTTTGAGTTCATGCCAAATGGTAGCTTGAATCGTTGGCTCCATATAGAATCTGGCATGCCCACTTTGAACAATACTCTTAGCCTCGCACAAAGGCTCGAATATCGCTGTCGATATCATGGATGCATTGGACTATCTTCATAATCACTGCCAGCCACCAATCATCCACTGTGATCTCAAACCAAGCAACATCCTTCTTGCAGAAGACATGAGTGCCCGAGTTGGAGATTTTGGCATATCTAGAATCATTTCAGAAAGTGAAAGTATGATTCTGCAAAATTCCAATAGCACAATTGGCATAAGAGGCTCCATTGGCTATGTCGCTCCTGGTAAATTCTATGTTTTTTATTTTTTCTCGATTCCAAATCCATCTATAAATATGGCATGCTAATCAATACTTCCTTTTTCTTTTGCACAATAATAGAGTATGGTGAAGGTTCTTCCATCACAACTTTTGGCGATGTTTATAGCCTTGGCATATTGCTGCTCGAGATTTTCACAGGGAGGAGCCCAACAGATGATATGTTTAGAGGTTCAATGGATCTACATAAGTTTTCAGAGGATGCTCTTCTAGATAAAATTTGGGAGATAGCCGATACGACAATGTGGCTGCACACTGGCACCTATGACAGCAATACAAGAAACATAATTGAGAAATGTTTGGTTCATGTCATTTCTCTTGGGGTATCCTGCTCAAGAAAACAACCTAGAGAGAGGACACTGATACAAGATGCGGTCAATGAGATGCATGCTATCAGAGATTCATACCTCAAGTTTGCCAGAACTCTTGTGGTGCAGGATGGAGTAGGAACGATTTTTCTGTAATTTTTAAACAACAATGAATAAAGTAGAGCTGAAGATGGGCAAGATGTTTGCAGGTGATAATTAAATAAATTAATTGAATGTGTCTATGAAGCTTCAATTCTATTCTGTTGTCCTTACAAATCTGCATTTCTTAATATCAGATTTAATGCAAATGGATTATTATGTGAAATACAACAACTGGTACATAAATCAAATAATAGAAACTTTTTCGCTTGTAGTTTGCTCAATGGTATAGTTGAACTCTAAAATCAGTTATCTCTGGACATTTTATAGAGTATGGAGGTGTTCTGGTGCTATTGTTTGATATGTTTACATGAAGCCCAATGAGTCCACTTGGTCAAAGAACCTTTAACATTGCTGTCTCAACAATATTTTGGCTACATGTGGAATCAAAGGATATCGTTGTGAAGAGTAGAACCAAGGATTTTATTTCTTTCTACGAATTTCTGTTTTCAGGCTTGCCATATCCTGCTCAAAGAGAGAAAAGCAGTAGACAGTAGAGATGCACGACATCAAAGATTCATACGTCGTGTTTCCTGTTACCGTGCGTGAGAAAACACCAATTGCAGACATTTGCTAGAGCAATGATCACAGCTGAAGGTAGATTAGAATTTAGGATATGTTGTCAACTAAAACAACTAAGCTGTATATGCAGTCAGGATTGAAGGTTTATCACAACAGTGTAAAAGGGAAAGTAAAAGGCCATGTAAATTTACCTTATTAAGATATGTAATGCTTGAACATCTACAGAAGTGGGCATATCATCCATATATGCTTACTCCACATCCTCACATTATTTTGAGGAAAATGGCTGGTGCTCTGCCTGTATTAAAGCACATCCTCATATCAATCAAGGATGAAAATATGAAAAATGCTTGGCTTGAAAAAGTAGACATGCATTTCAAATGAATAATTTGAAGCACACACAGAACCGGAAGCGGGTTCAGAATAATCACACAGAACAAAAGAACGATGAAGTTTCCACTGAAATTTAATCAATAAAGAAGCAGGCCACAGCTCAAACTGACTATGTTTATATGACAATCAGGGTGCACGCAGATGAGAGCATCACAAAATCTAGAAATGCAGAAAACAGTGTCTTCATTATTGGTAGCCATGCTCTAGTGGCACCCCATGCACATTGTCAGGGAAACCTCCATGCAGCAGACGTTCAGATCAGCAACGAACAAACATGGCAGTAGGACAATGTCAGAAATTATAAAATGCAAAGCAAGTTATACCACTGATGTCAAAATTTGTGGCACTGTAAAATACTCAATGGCACTGTTAAACAGCTTCATACACATTCTGAAGATTCAGAACACAAATGCTGCCCAGACTTACTTCTCGCATTGCGAAAGTAGTGCGACTGCAACAAATAAGTAATTGTCCTCTCCAGGCAGATCACCACCAGAATCATCAACAGATAAATAAAGAACCCATTGCAATTTGCAGAATCAACAAATGGTTGGCAGAGTAACTATAATTAGTGCAGAATCAACAAATGCAAAGAGACATGGACCAGCACCGCATTCCCAAAGTAGTGTATAACTGCAAGAAAATACAGGGTTCCAACCAGACAATGCAATTAGCAAATAGCAACCACAACATTCTGTTCCAGATATTGATCATATGTATCATCGCATAATAAAATAAATTGACAACAAAGCTCAATCCAATCATACAGATCATGTCAACAGAAACAACTAGGATTCCAGATCGACGAAGAGACATTGCACCAAAACCAGAAGCGGCACTGATGATCCCTGTCCCAACCAACCAAAACAGCACACAAACCATCAGCGTACCCCTCCCTCCCATCTCTCTGCTGCCGCTGCTACTACCGCTACCGCGTCACAACTGCCGACACTAGTAATTATTGTACTAGTACGAGCCCGAGCCCGAGCCCGAAGGGAGGTGGATTAGTCGGCAGCCCTAGTACCCTCGGAGGCGACGAGCTTCCCTGATTATGACGAGACGAGCTGAGGCCGGTCTAGAGGTGATGGAGGCGAGGCGGGCGGCGGCATCCTACGCAATCATCTCGATGACGTCGGTGGTGGTATTGTGGATCTCGAGAGGCGACGGCAGGCGGAAGGCGGTGGCGGGGAAGGTGGCAGTCGACAGGGATCTGATCTGAGGACGCTTGGCAACTCTCTTTTTTTTGTTGAGCACCAGCCGTTAGGAAGAAGACGCCGGATGATGGGTGTGGGCCTTATGCATGAAAGGCCCAGGTCCATTAGGAAGACCGGCCCAATTTGGCATTCACAACTCCTTGTGTCGAGGTACTGGCCCCCGGGCTCCTTTGGTCCTTCGGATGAGATCGTAAGTCAGCCCGTGTAAGATAGCTGTCTAGTGTTTTGGTCACGGTCGTTGGTCGATATAGTCATTGCTGCCTTAGCGCACGAGTGTTCTAATTCTAAAAACGAGTGTTTTCAGGACGCTGCAGCTAGCATTAGCCACCGGGGAGGGAAAATTCATTTTGACATTGTTGTAAAATATGTTGCTAGCGGTTAGGACCTTTTCCTTTCCGTCTCTCATGATTAACATAGTAGATGAAAGTAGAAGAACAAATAGACACCAGATAAGGAACTATTCTTTATTGCTTTGAATATTGGTCATTATAACATAAAGCTCCCGTATATATAGTCCTGTCAAGGTCTAAGAGTTTTGGTAAGAGCCCACATACAAATAGACTAGGATTAAGATTCCTCCTTCTCTTTCCCTTCTATGATTAAGTCCGTATGTTTTAGAACACTCCCTCTTGGGCGATTAGCATGATATGCACATGCCTCATTAAAAACTCCATCCGAAAATTCAGTGGAGAAAAACGATTCTTGGAGAAAAGAGTACATCACATTCGTTAATTGCATTGCACATGTTGTCTCATTAAAAACCTTATGTGAGAAACCTTCAAGTAAAAACTCACATAGGAAAAAAGAGTACATCATTTAACATTTTTTGTCATTTATTCTTCGGGATATTCTAATCTTCATGAATAGATATTAATCTTTATGGTCTATGCATAAACTTTAATGTTTTAGCATATATGATCTACTTGATCTTTGTAATTCTAATGGTTCTAATTACCTTCGGTAGATTCAATCAAATTACTCCCCCTCATATAGCCATACTTTGAACTTTATTATTCAAATTACACTTTTCATAATTGTGTGCTTAATTAATGGTACGTAGTACCACAATACTATATCTTTCAAAAGTTGGCTCATAATTTTTCTATGAATTATAATATGGGTGTAAACAAGAGCAATATGCTTCATGCATAATGACCACTTATTAGTTGTGCAAAACAAATAAATTTTATCCTTCAGGGTAATAAATCCTTTCAGAGGATTATGGGGGTAAATAAGAATATTCAATATCTTCTAGATAGTATATCAAACTTATACTAGAGTTTGAATACTTATAATTCTTTCTTAGTGGATTTTTAAATTATATGTTCTATAAATCTTTGGAATTTTGATTGTACCACTAAATAATAAATCCAGTCTTACATTTGACATTTAGGGGATAATGCAATCGCTAAAATCATCATTATTCTTATACCTTCTATGGTATTTTAGAGGATATCAACAATTTGTTGCTAGCTTTATAATACACATTTTCTGAGTATTTGTATGACACCTTCATGGTGTTTAGGATTCCTCATTTTCTTTCTCTCGGGTCTATATTCACTTCTAGGATTAATGATGTTTATTCAAGAATTGACTGGTAAATTCTTCATGGATTAACTCCTTCAAGGATGTTCTCATTTTCGGTGAATAATATTTCTCTTCTATGAGATATATTCTCTACAACATGAGAGATTATTATGTGATATACACAATAAGATAGTGTTATTTACTACCAAGCCATTCGATGACTCTATTCCTTCTAGGGTATACTCTTCTTCAGACTTCAATATTCATTCATTGATACATTCTACCTTAGACTTCTTAGTACTTTAATGAGATTTAATTTTCATATGTTGCGATTTATATTCTTCAAGAATTATATGGATTTTCATAATCCACTTTATAACTGCATATTCCATAATCATTCAATTCATTTGCCAGAGATATAGCAGAATATTTAATTTCTTCTTCATAGGAGATTCACCCTCAATTGCTTTCTTCATTGACCTGATATAATTGCTACAAGCGACTTTGCCATAGACTTTGTTTTCTAGATCCGAGTTCTCATAAGAGAAACATTTGCAATTATAAAGGTAGCGTTGTCGATAACTATTATTTTCTCCCAATATTCTCATAACATGAGATAATTTCGTATCTTTGTTATTTCCCAAACAAGAGATAATTTATTATTCTACGTACCCAATACTATGATGCGCGAGCTTAGTGTGTTGGATTTCATTTTCATGATGATCCTCTTTATGAGGTGTTTGACCTTCTTCGTGAGAATGAAGGAGTTTATTCTTATTTTATTTCTATTCAACAAGTATACACTAAACTAGAACCTACAAGTGTTCCCGTGGATTTTAGCTTGATAATATACAACGTTTTAGTTTACTAGTAGTAAACACAACTTCTGGTTTATAACTTCAAGTTACTGCTCTGATTTTCAAAAATGTCTGGCATATTCTTCGCTTCATGCTTCACAAGAGCATTAGTCAAACTATTGTTTGATTTAGTATGTGATACTATTCCTGCTTCGAGCTTCAAGAAATATTTTCTCGTAAGATCATTTTCCTTCTATGGAAATAATATTTGGCATTTTCAAAATAGGCTTTCTCTCTCCCCCTAATGCCAATATTAGATTTTTTAGCATACTTTAAAAGATATCCCCTATCATGGGCTTAAAATAATTCAAATTAATGTATCTCCAACTACAAGTGGAGGCCCATTCATGTATGTTATGATGGAGTTTAATGAAAAATATTCACGCATATATTTAAACACAGGGATTATTATTCATTAAATGCAGCAAGCTAGAATACATAAAGTGCACTTAAGAATGTTCAGCATTCCTACAAACTTAGGGAT